TCCCGGGAGTGGGTGCTCTCTGCCACCTCCCCGGGAGTGCTGGGTCCTGCCACCTCCCGGGAGTGCTGCTCTCTGCCACCTCCCGGGGGTTGCTGCTCTCTGCACCTCCCGGGGGTGCCCGCTCCCCTGCCACCCCCGGAGTGCTTTCTCTCTGCCACCTCCCGGGAGTGCTGCTCTCTGCCACCTCCCGGGAGTGCTGCTCTCTGCCACCTCCCGGGAGTGCTGCTCTCTGCCACCTCGCGGGAGTGAAAGATGGCAGGTAAATCATACACAACATTAACACTAAGAAGACGTATGAGAATGTGTACCGAGTGTTAAGCAACACTTCTGACTGGAAAGAGAAATGCAGTACAATGTAATACTTCAATGACTACGTTTCGCCCACCGTGCACCCATCTCTAATACATTGTAATAAAGTTGGTAGAATTACCGACAATATGTAAAGTAAAAGGACACAAGTGCAACTACATTAGTTGCACTTGTGTCCTTTTACTTTACATCTCTAATACAACCTACCCAATATTCTCCACCTTATATATAATCATGTACTTTTTTGTACCCAGGTTGATCTGTTTGACTTGAAAAAGTCCACCGTGTGGGCGAAACATTGTCAATAAAAGATCAAATTATACTGCATTTGTGTACTTTTCCATCGTCTCAGTATTTTATACCACTTTTCTCCAACACTTCTTACTTCTGTAAAGATTTCTCTTCAACTTTGCGGGACCCCGACTAGCACTGGAATTTAGGGAACCTGGTTACTTAAGGGGCACGTAAGTTCCCCTCTCCCTTGGCCATAATTACAATCACATTTTCTGTGTTTCGTAAGGTGAAGTCTTTCCTTAATTCATGGTACAACTTAAATATTTGAGGACAAACCATACCCCCGGCCGGGATTGAACCCGCGGTCATAGTCTCAAAACTCCAGCCCGTCGCGTTAGCCACTAGACCAGCTAGCCACAATAAGATTCATCCAACTAGGTATATTTCTACACCATAGGAAGGTTAGCACAGGCACCTCTGTGACCACAAATGCAAGTTTTTACAGACGAATCTCCAGCTAGCGTGGCCGTGACACTTGTGTTGTAGAAGTTTGATCAAAGCTCAGACCTCTACAACATAATTATCATCAAAGATCTGTTAAGTTTTACCATGAATTAAGTAAAGATTCTGGACCTCACCTTACGAAACAAAGAAAATTTGATAGTAATTATGGCCAAGGGAGATTATAGTGGAAGAATGAATGCGTTATTAGAAGGCGGGGGAACCTACGTGCCCCTTACCGACCCACAAGGATTATGTAGTATGTATTTAGACATTAAAATATACAGACAAGCGCGTGCGTGCGTGCACACGCCAGATGTGACTCGACCCTTGCAAAAGAAAAAAAAAGATGTAAATTTTATTTATCATTATGTAATAATTCTCATAACGAAGGAATGAGTTTACCTAGAAGCTGAAGGAATCCTGATCCGTGAAAATGGAGTTACTCTTCCTCACATCAAATGTAATTACCTGCCATTTCCCAGGCGCTGCACCCAGGCCTACAGGACTAGCGTCTCAGCAGCCAGGAGTAGGCTCGTACGACAACCATGGGAGTTACTTATAATAGCAATTAAATTATAATCATAACGAAGCGCTAAACCCTTAAGGGTCATAATAGCCCTGTTACCCATGCAGATTTAGCGTTTCCTGGTGAATGTAATGTATAAGAGAACATTAATAGTTCATGTTAGTGTAGATAAGGTGTCTTGATTGATAACGCCAGTACTCACCGTGTATACAGCCTACACCTCCCACACCTCTGGTCTTAATGCACTGAATTAGCATAGTCCAGTAGGCCTGCTGCAGCGCTTCCATTGCCCTAACAGGTGTTATTTCGTACTGTTTTTTCATATAGGATAGTCGTGGAGACGGTGGACGATACCTCAAACTACTGATTACTGCATGTCTGCCACAGTCTCCAGGATTGTTCTCTATATTAGTCTGATACTGTCACTGAGAGCGAAACGTCTTCTCAAAGATATACAGGTGTTGCACATGTTTTGAGCGGTGGTAACACCACTGAAGGATGACTTAAGAAATCGTAATGACACGATTGACACTGAAGGATGCTACCACCGCTACCAGTACCACGTCAGCTGCAACCTTAACACTAACTAACAAAGATTTATGTGTAGAATTACCGCTAGGGCGATTAACTGTAATAATAATAAATAATAATAATAATGATGAAAAGTAGGCGGTAATCCCGTATGGGCGAGAGCAGCCAGAGATCTGGTAGGAATGCCCCACAGCACAGCGACCTCCATACAAGAACAGCATACTTAAACGAATATTCATATCTTGAGACACTAAAACCCTTTGTGTCTTGCGTGGTGTGTGGAGAACCTTTTTTTAGAACACAAGTAGCACTGCAGAAGATCTACTGGCCCATGCTAGGCATGGTCCAACTCTCATCCACTCGTCTACTATATACAAATAACCCGCACATAAACTTATACGGACGTTCGAAATAAATGGTATAAAATACCGACACAATGGAAATATAAACACAAATGCAGTATAATGTGATCCTTTATTGACAACGTTTCACCCACACAGTGGGCTTTTTCAAGTCACACACGGATCTACCTGGGGTTGGAAGGTACGGGAGTATTTATAGTCATGTTCAGAATGTTGAGGTCAGGTGGAGAATGTTGCATCTGATGATCTACCGGGTGGGGTTATAGAGTCTTGGGTAGCTTGGCAGGGGCATTGGACAAGTTGTGAGTAGACCTTCTGCAGTGTTCTATGTTCTTATGTGGGATAGCGATGAAGAAGTTTCTTGGCGAGTGGTTCAGCTATGTTATAGAAGCCATTGTTCTGGTTGAACTTGTTGGTTATAGAGATAAGCGATGATTCCAGGATTCTTCTGTATTGAGTGTTGTCTTCTGGGGCGATAAGTCTTGAGTTTCTGTAGTTAATTAAATGGCTTTGTGAATTGCGATGTTGTACACAGGCATTCCTTGTATCGTCAGTCCTGCTTGCGTATTGGTGTTCTGAAATACGTGTTTGGAGGTCTCTTGATGTTTCGCCCACATATAATTTGTTGCAGTCATTACAAGGGATTATGTATACCCCTGCAGAGGATGGAGGCTTGTCCTGTCTACTACTGGTGATGTCCTTGATGGTCGTGGTTGTGGAGGTAGATACTTGGAATGATGTTTTGGCAAAGATGTTGGAAACATGTTTGGCAATGGAGTTGGTGGGAAGGACGTTTGGGGTCGACATGGATCATTAACTTGTGCGACAAGACTGGTCTAACCAATTTCTAAAACTTCAAGATTTACACTTCAATGAGACTACTCGGGAGTTTGTGCCACTCACTCCTAGATGGAGTGATAAGCAGGTGAAGGCCTAACCCACCTGACCAGAACCACCACCGAGGATCCGTGGTACGATCCTCGGTATGGGTGGTAACATTAGTGTTTCCTTCAGTCACGTTCTGTCCATGGAAACAAACACATATGCAGTTTGTACGAATGGTATATAATACCGACAAGATGAGATTAAGACACATGTGCAACATCTGGGTATCTTTATTGTAGGCGTTTCGCCATCCAGTGGCTTTATCAATACAAATTCTAGGACATAACTTGAAGACAGTAGAACTATGTACAGAAGATGAGGTAATCAGTCCCTCAACCTAGGAGTAGGTGCGAAGAGCACCACAGTCGTGGAGATGTTGCACATGTGTCTTAATCTCACATATGCAGTTTAATATGATCCTTTATTGACAAAGTTTCGCCCACATAGAGGGCTTTTTATGTTTCCATTGTGTGGGTATTTTATACCATTTATTTTCGACGTTGTGTCCATGTTCACCTAGCAATAACTAGGTACTTGAGTGTTAGCCGACTAGTGTGGGTTGCATCCTGAGGACAAAAATTTACCTAATTTGCCCGAAATGTTCTGTATAACCAGATGCTTTCTATATAGTACGTCACTGATGTATAAGGTATACAGACGTAGCTGACGTGTAGAAATAAAGATTATTATTATTTTTATTAAAGACTTAGCCAGGAGAAACCAGTACCTCCTGGAAAAATAAACACACAAGCAGTATGTGACCCTTCATTGACAACTTTTCGCCCACACAGTGAGCTTTATCAAGTCACAAACATCTACCTGGGTGAAAGGTACGCGAGTACCTTTCACCCAAGCAGAATTTTGTGACTTGATATAGCCCACTGTGTGGGCGAAACGCCGTCAGTAAATGATCACATACTGCTTATGTGTTTATTTTTCCACTGTGTCGGTATTTTATATCAGTTCCATCCAGTACCTCCTGACGAAGACACTACACCCACTACCCACACGAGTATTTATGGGTACCAAGCCGGGTCCAGGAGCTACAGCTTCACGTCTAAAAAATAGTGGAAATGCACAAAACGCATTTCTACGTTTTAAAAAGTTACCCATTAACTACGTATAGACTTTTCTTGAAGTTTATTCTCCCCGACGCTCAGAGTCCATAATTACCCTCCCCCCCCCCACACACACACATATATAATAAAAATATATGAACATTAAAAGGAGCACTGCAGCAGGCCTACTGGCCCATGCTAGGCAGGTCCAACTTGCGCCTACCTACACCCACTCATATATTTATGTGTAATTCCTCATCATCCACCTTTCTCTACATTGGACTGAAGTCACTGGCTGGCGAAACGTTTCTACAGTAAAAAAAAAAACTAAACTAATTGCTACACAAATGTCTCATTTAGATATCTAACAGATTTTTAAAACTACGCATTGGGAGTTGTTCCACTCATCTACAACTATTACCACACCAGTACATTCCTGTATCCTTTCTAAATATTAAATTTTCCAACTTGACACCAAGTGGGTCATTTAACACATTCTATTTAGTAGAAAGTTTGGTTACCTAACTGCATACACTTAGTTGTATAACGCAACGGGAGATGAAGAATGTCGCATGTTGAGTGCAACATTACCTGTTGATGGTGCTGTTGATGGTGCTGCTGTTGGTAATGTTGAAGCTGCTGTAAATTTTGCTGGTAATAGTGCTGCTGGTGGTGCTGCTGGTAATGGTTTTGCTGGTACTGGCGCAGGTCCTCTGATGAACTAGGGAAGGGAGTGTGCCAAGAATTCATCTTCGAACATTATTGATGAATTGTTAATCACCTTAACACACTGAACAACACGTATGCATGAGGGGGGGGAGAGGCTGAAGAGACTGTTCACTATCTACTATAGAAACAAGGGGTCTACGCCCACCTTTCTCCAACTTTACAGTTAACACTAGTGGTCGGGGCTAAGTGGGTAGCACGAGAGTGTGGGGAGGGTATAAGAGGTGATGTGATGACCCTCCTGTCACAGTGAGAGCCAGGGGCACACTGAGAGCCACCCCACAGGCACACACTACTACACAACCTTCCCGCCAGTGCCATCACGCATGCGCTCGCCTCCCATTTTCTATAGCCACAGAATTTAGTCTTCCTTTCAACGAATTTCGGGACTCATGCTTCCTATGTTCCCCGAAGAAAAGGCATTCCAACAGCGAAAATAATCGAGGAACCATGCCAATAAATGATACTTTAACACCACCAAACAGATCTACATCACTTACAGGAACGAACCTTCAAGGATCCCAAAATAAGTCAATTTGTCTTGACCTTTTTTTTGGGGGGTTATCCTAAATAATTAAGTTTTTATTCAGGTACAGGTGAATACAGTTACACAGATCATCATACACAGCAGCCTATGCCACTATGCATGATAATTGTTGGGTAAATGTGTGTGAAGTGTCAAAAAGTGGCACACAACTACCACCAAACATACGTACATCACTTGACAGAAAAGAACATTCACAAACTATCACCTGTGTAACAAGAACCCCAATGGAAATGTCACCTTTTTTTTTGGGGGGGGGGGACGTTTCGGTCCAAAGCGGACCGAAACGTCGTCGTAAGCTCCTCTTCTATGTGCGGGTTATTTGTGTATCGTTCCAATCACGATATTGTGCCTTTTTTTGTTATTTAAACCACACGTATGTCAGTGTGTATGATAATGGTGATCATTACAACCTGACTCTTCCCGTCTAAATATTCTATATACATGTTATGCTTTCCTCGGGCGTCAAAAATAATCGTACAGGTGAAGCGTCGACTCGAAACAATCCAAAACCCGTGCTGTGACTCGACCCCCTGCAACCACAGAGGCGAGCACACAGTGGATGATGAGGCAATGTGTGGGCCGCCCATTCATGAAGTGGCGACCCACACGGACCAGGAACACCGCTTGAATTGTCTCCCATATACGGTTAAGGGTGCAAAATGTAAACAGGAGATGGTCTACCTTACTACGTCATGGGCGTGTGGGTATATTACAGTCTGGCCCACTGCCTGCCCACCTGCCCAGGAGAAGGCAGCCTTAGTGGGACAGGTGATCCCTGCTACCCACGTGCCCAGAGGAAGGCAGTCGTAGTGAGGCAGGTGGTCCCTGCTACCCACCTGCCCAGGTGAGGGCAGTCGTTGTGGGGAAGGTGGTCCCTGCTACCCACCTGCCCAGAGGAAGGCAGTCGTAGTGAAGCAGGTGGTCCCTGCTACCCACCTGCCCAGGTGAGGGCAGCCGTTGTGGGGAAGGTGGTCCCTGCTACCCACCTGCCCAGGTGAGGGCAGTCGTTGTGGGGAAGGTGGTCCCTGCTACCCACCTGCCCAGAGGAAGGCAGTCGTAGTGAAGCAGGTGGTCCCTGCTACCCACCTGCCCAGGTGAGGGCAGTCTTTGTGGGGAAGGTGGTCCCTGCTACCCACCTGCCCAGAGGAAGGCAGTCGTAGTGAAGCAGGTGGTCCCTGCTACCCACCTGCCGAGAGGAAGGCAGTCGTAGTGGGACAGGTGGTCCCTGCTACCCACCTGCCCAGGTGAGGGCACTCGTAGTGGGACAGGTGGTCCCTGCTACCCACCTACGCAAGGGGGACCAGTATTCCCTGCTTTAGTGGGACAAGAACTACCACACAGTGCGACATACGTACTGGATGGAAAGCGTACTCTTTGCCATATCTGCATCTACAGTGTATGGTCACTCTTCCATATAATAGTTACACAGTGGGAGCACCCACTGTATCTACACTATGGCAGTCACATGGTGTGAGAACACCCAGTGTATGCCTACAGTGTAACATGAAGAACGAGCACTCTCGTATAAATACGTCAGAGCTCCTTTAAGAGGCGTGAGTTCCCCTGTCTACTAATATGTTTATTTCCCCACTATAATCTACCTTGTCCATAATTACTATCACATTTGCTTTGTCTGTTTCGTAAGGTGAAGTCCAGGATCTTTACTTAATTCATGGTATAACTTAACAAATATTTGAGGACAATTGTGTTGCAGAGGTGTGAGCTTTGTTCACACCTCTGTTCATATTGTTGATTTACTATGACTGTTCAGTGGAACACTAACGTTCATATGGAGGACAAAAGTCACGGTACCGTGGCTGGAACAATCAACACCCCCACAGCCACGGCACCGTGGCTGGAACAATCAACACCCCCACAGCCACTGCACCGTGGCTGGAACAATCAACACCCCCACAGCCACTGCACCGTGGCTGGAACAATCAACACCCCCACAGCCACTGCACCGTGGCTGGAACAATCAACACCCCCACAGCCACTGCACCGTGGCTGGAACAATCAATACCCCCACAGCCACTGCACCGTGGCTGGAACAATCAACACCCCCACAGCCACGGCACCGTGGCTGGAACAACTCACCAACTGAACAACAAGTTGTCGCTTGACACAACGTCTCGCTCCAGAGAGCAAAATCAAGTCAACAACCTGATAAAGCTCTACACAGAGCGAAACATCTGGGCAAAAGTTATTCCAGCAATGTTTTATCCAGTGAAACTTACCACTTGTTGTGCCTTGATTTGTATCTTATACAGTGAGTGAATATTGTAGCTGTCAAGTGTTGTGGGTAACAGGGTTAAGAGGGAGGCAGGATAGTCAAGTGGGTTAAGAGGGAGGCAGGATAGTCAAGTGGGTTAAGAGGGAAGCAGGATAGTCAAGTGGGTTAAGAGGGAGGCAGGAGAGTCAAGTGGGTTAAGAGGGAGGCAGGATAGAGGTGGGATAAAAAGGAAGGCAGGTCAGAGATGGGATTAAAAGGAAGGCAGGTCAGAGGTGGGAAAAAAAAGGGGAGGCAGGTCAGAGGTGGGATAAAAGGGGAGGCAGGTCAGAGGTGGGATAAAAGGGGAGGCAGGTCAGAGGTGGGATAAAAGGGGAGGCAGGTCAGAGGTGGGATAAAAGGGAGGCAGGTCAGAGGTGGGATAAAAGGGGAGGCAGGTCAGGGGTGGGATAAAAGGGGAGGCAGGTCAGAGGCAGGGTATAGAGCGTAGCAGGCTGGGCAAGCCTCCGTTACGTCACATATAAGTATAGCCCACAGTGGCTGCCCCCTCCCCCCACCCCAACACACACAGCCACCTCACTTTATACCACACGGGACATCCCCAGGCATTTAAATATGGCGGTGCCTTCATTTCAGTGGAGCACATCTGTGCTGGGCAGTACCCGGAGTGCCAAGCACCTATCATGCCCACTTAACACGCTTCTGATAACTGCTAGTTGTAAGCTGCACGTCACCTCTATACTACCAGTCAAGAATACTGTTATACATAAAACACGGATTAAACAGTATATACCTCTACTTTTGATGAGTTTCGAGAGTTTCTATTCGTCTGGTGCTAGCCTGGTCAACCAGGTTATTACTGCTGGAGGTCCGCTGCCCCACATATCTATCACAGCCTGGTTGATCTGGCACCTGGTGAAGGTGTGTGTTCAGTTTATTCTTTAAGACTTCCACACTTGTCCCAGCAGTTTGATATCTTTGGTAAGACCATGTATAATCTGCGACCACGGATGTTGATACAGTGCTGCAGTGTGTAGAATTGGGACCAGGCCCTCGAGTACTTTCCAGGTATATACCATCATGTATACAACGATAGTGCAATACAGTAGCGGACAGGCGATCTTAATGCAAGACAAGCCACAGGAGATGGAAATCTTCAGCTTAAGTACTTTCACATATCTCCGCGTGTCATCAGGAGCTATGCAATGTTGCAAGAGTAGCAACAGGTGGACGCACGGAGACGTGTGAAAGCACTCGAGCTGAAGATTTCCACCCCCCGCGGCTTGTCTTGCATACAACGATATACACAGCTTGGTTGACCAGGCAAGCACCAGACTAGCCTGGTTCATGGCCGGACTCAGGGAGTAGAGAGGCACTCGGAACTCAAAGGTATACGCTTCTCTACTTTGATAACTTAGACACACATGCAACACTTGGGTATCTTTATTGAGGAAACGTTTCGCCACACAGTGGCTTCATCAATCCATACAATGGTAGCCCTAACAATAAGACATCCCCCGAAGACATCCGAATACATCCTTGTGTTGCAGAGGTCTAAGGTTTGCTCAGACCTCTGCAACACTATTGTCCTCAAAGATTTGTTAAGTTATACCATGAATTATGGAAAGATCCTGGACTTCACCTTATGAAAGCAGACAAAGCAAATGCGATAGTAATTATGTACAAGGTAGATTATAGTGGAAAAATAACACATTAGAAGACAGGGGAACTGATGTGCCCCTTAAAGGAAGGCCTTTAAGGTACTCCCTTTAAGGATTTCGTTTACAACTCGAGCATAAGTGCCGGCCTCCTTGCTTATGCTCCTGAATCTCCACGACTACGGTGCTCTCCACACCAACTCCAAAGTTAAGGGACTGATTACCTCATCTTCTGTATATAGTTCAACTGTCTTCAAATTATGTCTTAGAATTTGTATTGATAAAGCCACTGGATGGCGAAACGTCTACAATAAAGATACCCAGATGTTGCACATGCGTCTAAATATCAACTTGAGAACCACTCATCGGATTGGCTTCAAACTTTCAAAGCTGGTGTGCTGTAACTATGGAAGGCTCGTGTAACTGTTGCCACATACAAGTGGTGAATTTTATACTGGCCAGACCTCGAGAATACCCCTTCTAACCTGTCTCCAAACTTTTAACACCACTGTAGTGGTCAGTCGTCACGTGAGGTCACAGACCCTGAGCTGCTTTGGGGA